TCAATGACTATTGCGTTAATTTTTATCTTTTTACTGGGATGGCTTACATTTTGCAATACGATTTCTACGATATCATACAAGCGCTCTTTTGCATCTTTGCATCCAAATGTGAAAATAATAAGCGCTTCTTTATTAATAATTTTCAACCCCAGTGAATCAACCACTTCTCGTAAGATGAATGACTTTGTTGACCCTGAATCTAGCATACAACGTAATACCTTTTCGTTCCCCCCTTTACACCTAACTGTTGCCGAAAACGTCTGTAAAAGAACGGAAGTCGGTGGTTTAATTTTGTTATTATTTTCATTACATAAGAGCGAAAGAGAAGCTTCAGGGATTGGCGTTTGTTTTGTCTGATTGGAAGTATCCGTCTCTAAACCTTTCGATGCGGCGTCACATATTAACGAATTATGTAAACCTTGGACATTGCACAGTCTGCATTTTTCATCTTTATGAGCACAGAAACGCCTTGGATGCCCTTTCGAAAAGCAAATAAAACATAAACCTCGATCCATTAATGCCTTTCGGCGAGCCTTTAAATCAAGTGCGCAATCATGATTCATATGACAAGCAGATAAACAAAATATGCAGACATTTTGATTCTCTTTCTTAGGCGGGGGTAGAGAACTTTCGATTTGGATTAAAATGTGATTTTTGAAAGTATTTAGAGGGAGTTTCGCTTTGACTAGTTAATACCGAAGCACCTTGCTTATTCGTACTGTAATCATTTCTTTTAGAATGCATGTAAGATTTATTTTGATAACCTTGATGGGAACTTTTGTTTCGTATTGATGTTTCATTTACATCAAAATTCTTAGAACGCGCTAACATCATTGATGTTTCCCTACATTCCACTTCCGTTTTCAAGAACGTTAGTAGTTCATTAACATCGAAATTTTGTTTATCACTTCTTTTTCCTAGTGAATTCTAGAGTTAAATTCTCGGGTATTAACTTTAACAAAATAGGGGATAATAAATGTCCATAAGAACCACTAGTAACATTTAAAGAATTTAAATTCCTTATTTGTATTTGTATTTCTATATCGTCATAAAGCTTCCTCAAAGAAGCCGTATTTCCGGAATATTTTACAGGTTCTAAACTCAACAATTTATTCATATGCGCATTAATTAGCAGGTCATCTCTGCCGAAACGGTTTTTTAGTATATCAACAGCCACCGTATAGTTTTCACTAGTAAATGTTAATCCACTAATAGCATTTAAAGCTAAACCTCCCAAAAGCGATTTTAAATAACAAAACTTGTCAACCGAACTGAGACTTTCGTTTTGGTGAATGGAATTACTAAACTGATTCCAGAATTCAAGCCAAGAACAAGGATCACCGTAATATTTTGTAATCGTTAATTTTGGCAATTTTAAAGTATTAACTTCACAAGTTTTCAACTTCGGAGATATAGTTTCCTCACTAGAATTTCTAGATTCAACTTTACACGCGTTTTTTTCTTAATTTTTCCTGAATTTTACATTTAAAACTTATAATTCTTTCCTGATATTCCTGCGCGGAAATTACTTCTGTTTCCAACTCCTGTTCCGTAATTATAAGTTTTTCAATCTCAGAATCGTATTGTTTCAACAACTGCGATTTTTCAAGTAACATTTCGAGTAATTCTTTTAATTTCTCATCCGCGGTTTCACCCTCTTCTAACAATGCAGAATCTATTTTACTCATCAACTTAGTAGTTAAGTTACGCGTCACCGTACGCAACTTCTTTGCCTTATTCATAGCCTCCATTTTACCATTAGATTCTATCAACTATAATAATCACCAAGATTTTTATTCAACAATTCTATTAAAAACTGGAAAAATGAAAAAGGGCCTACCTCGAATTTCTTCGCGTTAAATCCTGGCTTTTCAGTCATGAACTCACTAATTTTCATGAACTCACTACTTTTCTTCGTCCATTCTTCATCTCCACAAATCAAGTCCGGTGTCACCAAAAAAAAAAAAAAAAAAAAAAAAAAAAAAATGTACGTATCCAAATGATCAGAAGGTTGTTGATGCTTGTTCCTTGATCTATTGCACCAAGATATTTTACTGTACATTTATTTACAATTTATTTACAAGTATTTATTTACAAGTATGCCACCTGGCATGTTTACAAGCGTTATGCCTCCTGGCATGTACATGATAGACGTATTCTGCCACCTGGCATGTGAATTGATACATCATACTAGTTTTCTGCCACCTGACAGATACGATGCAATTACCTCAATTAGCAGTAATACGCCCGACATTTTGGCGTGTCCGCTTCCCTTACGTTCTGTAACGCAACTAACTTTTTGTGCGGTGCGCCCTCTGGGCACAAATCACCGCAATCACCGAGGAGGCCAAAACACAGGTATTTAAACATTTTTTTTTCTTTTATAAATTGCATATTGGCAAAATTTAAAATGTAGCTAAATTAGACACAGTTATTTATAATACTCTTTAGCAAATGAAATTAATAAAACTTTCTTTCTTATATAATATTTCAACTAATAGAGTTTGGAAATTTTGAAACCTTTTCATCAAAACTGATTGCTAATGCTAATTTTTTAATGGTAATCGGTAATTAGATTTTATACATACTGTAGAGATATTAAGTATTTTTTGGAAGCAGGAAAGGTGAAAAATTAGCATCGCCTTCGCCGGGAATCGAACCGCGGACCCCTCAAATGCGCTGAGCGTGTAGACCACTACACCACGAATGCTCGTTAAGAAAGCGGAAGAAATACTTTATAATACAACCTCACTTATCCTTTCAGAAAGGCGAGTTCTGATGATCTGAGACAAATTCACAGGCATATGATTTTAATTCAGCATATTCATCACTTGGAATGCAAAATGTTATTCGATAACGCTTCATTTTTGGTGTTGGCGACAATTTTCAAAATGCCGTCAAGTCGTACCGTATGCTAGGGTTTTACCGAGAGATTAATGAGGCTATTTACGCGTATGGTTTAACATAATGATTACATGATACGTATATCTGAATGATGAATAACACTTCGTCTTGCTATAGAATAAATTAAATGCTACGTAGGTTAAAACGATAATTTCCCGATCACACCATTCCAAGCAAAACTGGGTTCTCAGATTCATAGAAATTATGAACTATTAAATAATACCAAAAAGGAAATGCTAAATTTAACAGGAATGGCAACAAGTTAGATAAGCCTAACTAAATGACAACAGTATGAAATAGAGCCCTTTCGATTTGTTTTGTTGAAAGTTTAGTGGTGGTGATGTGATGTTTCATATTCTAGGAAGTGTTTGCTATGTGATACTTAACGTCATTACATTGGGGATTAAATACTTCCACCTGAAGATTAGGCAGAAGTTTCTCAAATGAATAATTAACTGGATTTTGAATTATAGAAAATTCCTTTTGTGCTTGAAAGGTACTGTTGGAATTGCAGTATTAACTGCCGCACCCAATATGTATGAGAATGGATATTTCTTCGTAATAAATTCTGATAACACATTAAGTACGTAAAACAATTTGGCATTACTTGAGATTCAAATAAATTTTTATTATCATTCAAATTAAATTATAATATACATTCTATAATATAAAAAGCAAACTCACCAAGAAGTTACCGAATGGGACGGAAATCCGTATGTTCGTACCTTATTAATAGAATATACTAACCATTAATTTTTGGCGGACAGTGATTGACTAGCTGGAGTTTCAGCTAGTCAACTAGCTGCAACGGAGCACTCGGATGGTGTATAAAGCGGAGGACATCCCAATGTGACAACTTACGATTGTAGAGTATTTTTGTTGCGCACTGTAAATAGTGTATATGATTTTTAATTTCCTTTAATTTCGAAATGTATTAAATTAAACTGACTGGCCAAATCGCAGGGTTTCTAGATACTATTTGGGTTTGAATGATGCTATCATTGGACGATCTTGGCAGGAATGGGTGAACCTCAAAAAGTATTTAAATGTATATCTTCGTATCTCTTCACCTGATTGAAACGAAATTTTCGGATGTTTTTGAAAGAAAAATCTCTTTAGTAGAAAGGAGGAGAAAATGTATTGGATCAGTTCAATTATGACAACAGTATCTCAGTGGCTAGAGCACAGTGTTTTGGATCGAGAGATCTGGAAATCATCGTTTTTTGCTATTTAGTTACTGATTTGATGAAAATTTAATTATCTAGTTTTCAGAAACTGAACAGCACTAGAATTTGAATTTTCTTTCTTTCTTTCTTTTCCTTTTTTTTCTTTCTTTTTTTTCTTTTTTTTTTTTGTATGTATGTATGTATATATATGTGTGTGTGTATACCTGCTTTCTAATCTTCCTTTCCGAGAGACAAATATTGAAGAACCACTCACGTGATATGATTATCTCTGAAATCATCTTAACGAGACGGACAGGCTGCTTCTTTGCAGTATTTCGCGAAAACTTGGAAGTTTAATGGTAAGGTATAACTTCTCTAGATACCATCGACTCACGTGGACTGTACCAGTGCCGAATTTCGCGAACAAGCTAACTGCATGGACGTTATCGTTCTTTTCTCCCCATGTATAACGTGTATACAAGTCAGTTTCCCTTAAAAGGTCCTCCACGAAGGCATCCCTCCCCTTAGGCAGATAGCCCTAGTGTGCCTTGCCATAATTAAATAAACCAACTTATGTAGGAGCAGCCGCCTCTGACCGTCCCTGGGTCACGCCGATCTAACTCACCGGTTGGAATGTGTATGGCAAGCAATCTCGCAGGAGGACATCCAACTTCCGTCTAAAGCTGAGAAAATATTTTTAACTAACATAATACAAAACAGTTTGCTTCATTTGTTCAAAACCATTTAGCGTATCTTATATTTCTGTACATGCAGCGGACCAGAGAACAGCAAATACAGATTTGGCCTGTAAAAAACGGCAAACCATACTTGGAGATTTAGTATATGTGTATGGGCTGTAGACTAATATAAGTCAGATATCTGAAGTTTCTCTGTAATATAATCCTGAAACATTTATATTTGTTCCTATAGAACCAACGAAAGATTTCGCATCCAATACTGATTTTCGAGTTCATGGAGTATTTCCGAAATTCACAGTCCCCTACGGCAGAAGAGGTCAAGCTTGTGATGGAATCGTCGATGAGCAAGAAGCATGCAAAAATAGTGGATTCGTTACCTCCCAACAATACAAGCATGAATCAACTTTTGCTGTGTCCAACACTTATCCAAAGGTAAATATTTCATTCACCTTTTATGCGTTAGTCTAGATTCAATGTAATACGTGTTTAAGGTCGGACTTTAAAACATAACTCCTTGTCAAACTACTATGAATGGCGTTAACCTATATTAGAGGAATTATACGATGGTAGCTACCCCCTAAAAAGGTTACAAGGATAATAAAAAATTATTCATTAATGATAGACAGAAAATACAAGAAGGAATTAAGAGGCCTACTTTCTACCATTTTTCCAAATAACCACTAACTCTATTTAAGCATTTCCGCAGGACCAATTTGTTTAACCCTGCTTGGTGGAAATCACATCATTGCCCACTGAGCCAGTTCTCGGTAGCTATTTTCACATCGCTGAAGAGAATCTCATTCCAGATAAATGTTCTTTCAATTTCAGAAAAAGAAAATAGTCACTGGATGCTAAATATGGGCTATATGGACATGACTTCAGACTTCCCAATTTTGCATTAATTTATGAGTTTGGCGAAAGCCAGGCATTGTCATGCAGGAGGATGATACAATCACTGAACGTGCCAGCGCTTGCGTCAGATGACTTCACGTAACCTTGTCAAAGTGGCACAATAACGATTGGAAGTAACGGTATTCGACCAGGATAACGAATCGTGTCTCGAACCTCCAAGCGAGACCACTTTTCTTGCCATTTCAATTGCTCTCACGCATCTGCGAACTTATTCTACCTATTCGCACAAACGCTGCTAAAGAACTAGTGCCATCTGTCTACACTTTGGGGGGGGGGAATATTCTATTCACAATAATTAAGTTTCAAATGCTGATCCTTGTAATCTTTTCTTTATTTTCAAATTATTCTTCCAAAAGTACTGTAGAATGTTTGGTGGCAGTTAAAAAATATCTGCGGTCTTCAGATTCCACTCTTGGGGTTCTGACAGTCAACACTGCAATATTAACTAAGTAGACAGCCTTCATCATGCTTTACCATATGCCTCATTGAAAAGAGACTTAATGACAGATTTGATTGAATAAGCGAAAGCAAAAGGATGATCACACAATTTGAACCATGAATTATGCAAGCAAGCAAGTATCCCAATTTTGATCGAGATATGCTGGAAATGGTGTTTGAGATTATTGTACACTTCTGTTTCTGCCACTAACAATGCGAAAAGACTTTCGTACTTAACCACTAATTGAACAACAGATAAATGATAATAACCAAAAAATGTTTACTTACAAATATGATTTGTAGTCAGGAACTATACATATTTACAACTTAAAATCTACTGCATTTGGTAATCAGTACAACAAAACTTAGATGACCATAGCTTGAAGGGAAGCAAATGCTAAATTAGTGTTTACCGATTTGTGAAATAAGAAACCTAACTGAAACTTTATTTACCGACACAGTTTTCGGGAATTCATTCTGTTTATTCACGCTGTTAACAAATCACCGCTAGTACTAATGTAAGGTATAAAATATACTTGCACGTTAAAAAATTTTCTTCGCATGGCTGTCAGATAACTGCTATATTCCTAATCTTTGTATGAGTTTCGAAATTTGTGGGATCGCTTAAACTCCAGTTTCACAATATCTGTACAGAAGGCGATTATAATAAAGTAAGGATTGGGTAAAGCAGAAATAACGTATTCTAAATCATTCAATCTTGTTAAAATTGTTTTAGGAATGTTCTGTTCAGTATAAAACAAGCAATTGGACACTTATTTGTATCTACCATAGATGTGTATGTACTACTAGAAATGAGTGATAGAATGGCCTATTCTAGGTTGCAAAGATAGCAGCCATTCTAGAGACTTTACTAAAATAATCTCAAATTATTTGTTTTTCTTTCAAAGAAAAAAATATTATCGGTACACTTCAGCAGAGCTCCACGAATTTAGCTGTGCTAATTTTTGCTTGAGTGCACAGAGTGTTTTAACTGGATTAGTTTTGTGAACAATTTAGACATTATGTCTATCATTTAATTTCCAAAGGCGTGACAGTGGGCCAGGAAGAACCCACTGCAAGGCGTTTTTGACCCTTGGTTTATATGTAGATGCTTTCTAATTTTTTAACTTCAATAATAATTTGTGCTTTGCTGATAAAAGCACAGGAAGCTGCATGAGGGAACTGATCAGAATGAAAATTGATCTATCTTCCAGGAAATTACAACCACTCAAAATAGTAATTACTTTATACTGAGTGTTAAACACTAGGATGGGGTGAATTTTTAAAATGTGCTTTTAAGTTAAAAAAAAAAAAAATCATTTTTATATTATGTGCTTCATTATTAAAATAATGAAGCCTTCTCACAGCTACTTATTTATTGATTGCAAAATGTTTATTATTCATTTCACAGATCAAGCTGCGTGTAAGATTCTCGATGTCTGATAGAAAGACCAAAGAATATCTTCTGTGCAGAGAAGTTCCTGTTGAGATCAAGTGGGTATCTTTTAATACCACTTTTTAAATCTATATTTAAAAATATTTACTAAATTTATATAAAAACTGAGATAACCAAAATAGTTATGTTTATTTTCAAAGCAAAGACATTATAAGATAGCAAGTTGAATGCATCTGATATGAGCCTGATCCAATAAAACACTAATTCTAGGCTAACTTAGAATATTTACTGTCTCTGAAGAAGGTTTAAACACATTTCATGTTTATAATGATATCATATTGTAAGATCATATACAAAAATTTTGAAGCTGGCTGGGTATTTTTTCTTTAAATATTGATCCAAGATATCTATTTCTAGTTACACTATTTCTCAAAATAAAGTAAATTTGACACTGAAGTTGATAGAAAACCTTTTTTTTTTTTTTTTTTTTTTTTGTGTGTGTGTGTTTTTGTTAAGTACACATAGTTTATATACAAAATATTCGTTCTTATAAAATATTTGTTTTTATAAAATCCACCATATAAAATTACAAAATAATATGTTTAGCTTTGTGAAGGTAAATGTAAAATGTTCCTTACTTTTATGTGTAAAACAGGGGTTCTCAACCGGTGGTACACGTACCACTGTGGAGTACGCAAGAGAAAAATAGGTGGTACACAAGAAGCAAAGTATTTTTAACAATTAAATTCAATAATTAAAACTCCAGCATCCTGATTGCGTTTTTTCTCTAACGCTCGTAAGTTTATGCGATCTGAGCTTTGTTCAAGAGTGATGATGGTAGTAATACTTTGTAGTGGTGGTACTAAAGGTTTTCAATTTTTTTTAGGTGGTTACATGTTAGTCAAAAGGTTGAGAACCGCTGGTCTAAAATTTAAAGGTATTTAGAATTAATATATTTTTAAGCCAGTTACATAGTAACAGTTTTTTTTAGTTCAATATACAACTTGTATACAGCAAAATGAGCAATATTTATTTTAAAATTGTTTCCAAAAATTTAAGGGAATATTTAATTTTAGTGAAATTTATGCACTGAAAAGTGGTTTAAGTTAATAAATTTATTCTCTAATATTTCGATGAATTCTGAACAAAAATGTGCAGAATATTCTGTATTTGACTTATTAGAGCATAATGAATATTTTACTAACTGCGTTTTTTGCTCTAAGAGGGGCATATGAAGACCTAGATATTAAAGTTATGAAATCCTCCCATTCATGATTTCAAAATCTTTCTCATAAAATTTTCTTGAGACTATCTTTTATCTAGGATCATCATCTGAAAGAAAAATGTTCAGAGTGATATTTTTTCTATTGCCCTGCAAGATGTAAAATAAAGGTCATTATAAATAAAAAAAAATCTGATGTGTACACCACATGACTTCCTTGTACGGAATATTAAATTATACGCATTTTTTCTTGCATTTCATTTAAACTTATTGGATTGAATTAAATCTACTTCCTTCGACACCGCATAAACCACAATAGAATAAATGCATTCTTTAAAATTCACTTTGTTTACCATAGCGACACTCTGGCGTTAGGTTCACTTAATACTATTATATTTCGTTCATATTATAACTCAGAATGCACAAAATTTATATCATTTAAAGAATTATCTAATCGTTGCCACATGTTCTATTCAAATACTATAATAAAGCTAGAACGATGTATAAAAGAAATTAAACAAACAAAACGAAAAAGAAACAGTTTTTCACAGACGATTGAGTATTCTCATTTAATTAATTCAGTTCTCACTTAGCAAGAAGGCAAAAATACATAAAAACTAAAAATATCTATATTAAAAATTACGAAGTAAATCTTAAACGCTTATTTCCTCAAAAAAATTCCAGAAAGGATTAAGCATGATTTAAATAATAATTGAAGGCGTTATCTCTTGTTGTTGCGAAGCTAAGTTTTTCTAGATATTGGCAATAAATCCGCTATGCTGCTGTTTCAAATGTAAACAAGAGCAATGGCCAGCCATCAAAACATTATTAGGCTTAGCGGCATTTAAACAATTTTAAAATTGTTGAGAGTTCTAAAAATATTGCATACATATTTACGAAAGGCATAAAAACCTTAACCGAAGATAAGAACAACACAATTCGATCATTTTTAAAGCAAAAAATGTACAATTTACAAACATATAAGAGTAAAGAAACTGAGATCACTGAGCCGGGTAACAGAGTGGATATATATATAAATATTTATATACTTTGGTGCGGCCGATTGCAACCAAAATACGAGGTGCACATCTACATGTTATAGCAGTCCTATATACAAAATTTCAACGTTCTGAGGATACTCGTTTTTGAGTTACGCGAGATAGGTACGTACATACATTCGTACAGACACCACGAAAAATTCTCTTCAGAATTCATTTTAAAGAAGTTTTATAATTTTTTTGAAGGAAAAGAGTGTTTTATTCTGTGTTGTACGTACATATATATACACGGAAATACATCGTTAAATTGCATTTGAAAGAGGTCAAAATGGGATATTTTCGTTGAAATATGCTGCCTGAAACTTTTCGCGATTACAATACTTCCTTTTTACTTCGTACAAGGAAGTAATAAGGTCATCATTTAAATCCCTCTTGAATTATTCATTCAGATGTTGAACTGCGGTGCTTAACCACCAGGGTGCCTGGGCGCCATAGCCCTACCCCTCATCGAATAACATGATAAAAGTTTCGAATTATGAGAAATATAACTGAATGTGCTAAATAATTAAATGAGGAAGAGTTTAAATTCATAATTGCTAATAGTTAAAAACATATTTTTTCCTTAAGTACCTAATTACTAATCCATACATAATTAACTATTTTTTAACAACTATTTCACAGAAGAATACATGTATGCACAAGAGAAACAAAATACGAAGTGCGACGCCTTAATTATTCATTCAGGGTTCGCACGGCTTAATTTCGCCCAAAATCGCAAGAGGTCCTTAATTTTAATCATCTTGTAACCCCACGGCTCAATGAGCGCCACCTAGCAGCCGCCGGAATAAAGACCAGCCAAAAAAGATGTCAGTCGATGTGCGGGAGTCATGAACCAAACATGCTGTTTCCCCGAGATTTACTTTGTAACTTAAATGTGTAATTATAACGCCCTTTATTGTAATGTTTTATTTTAATTGTGTTTTGTTAATTAAAACTACTTAAAAAGGCCAAGTGAGTCTTTTATTTATGGTAGTTTTGGTTATGGCTACCCAACGTGCGGCTCGAATGATTTATCCAGTTGAGAAAAAAAAAAAAAAAACATGTTTAGTTTAGGACTCCAGGACATCGACTCATATTCTTTTCCAGGTTTTAGATACTACTCCCACTAGCGAAGTCCTCACCCTAAGATTATTTTGGAAATTGCATAAAGTAGCGGTTTTATCTTCATCCGAAGATAACAGATAAGCATTTACTTAATAAGAAAGAAATTTTTACTTTACACGTTCCCTGCCAGACCGTTTTTTGAAGACTTCCCGTTCGCGCCCCACGATTTACATTTGTATTATTTTGTTTCTGGCGATAAAAAAAAATTGCCCATCACGCCACGTTGGGCACGCCCCACGATTAAATGAGGGATTAAATGAGGGCAGTAGTATTAAGATGCCCATAATTAACTGCATAATGAATTTTTAAAAAATTCTTCATTTTATAATGATAATATCAAATGGCTTGAACGGAAAGTTTAGCGTGGGGCGCATACGCCCCACGCGGCAGGGAACGTGTTAATAAGCATTTAACTTAATAAGATAACAGATTTTCACTTAATTAGCAATATAAAATTCTAACTATAACGTCGTTAATACTTTAATAATATGGAATAAAATGTCGAAATGGAATAAAACAGAATCATATCTAAAGTATATATAAGCTCTAGGTGTTTCCGTTTAGATATAAATTCACTTTAAGAATTTATATTGTCTTACATTGTTCTAAGTAATTGATTTCTATTTGAATTTCCTGTGTTTTTGTTCTATGTTCTAAATGAAGATTAATTTTGTTTTCATTCCAAGCCAACACAAGTAAAATTTCGTTTCGGTTCTGAACGAAAAATGTATAGGTAACAAAATATCAGGGATAAAGAAGGGCTAGGTCATTCCTTTGTTCGACTCCTCGCCGACGCGAGTCTCATAGAGGGGGGGGGAACCGGAAGTAATCTGACGTATCTTTGTTGCACCTGCTCTGATTTCGCGCCTTTAAAACTGTAGTTTCATTCAGTTGCGAGACGATTTTCTGGAGATCGCATATCCCAAATTAATTTTAATCATACATATTTGTTTTCTAATAATGCAAATATTTAAAATAATTTGCGTATATATAGTTTTAGTCAGTTTTCCTATCCTTTATGTAATATGGCTTCTTGTGCTGTTGCAACGTGCCGTAACACTTATAGGAATACGAAAGGAAGAGATATTGTATTTCATGCTAATTGAAGCTGACAATAATAAATCAAATGTGGATCATTTTGAAATAAAACTCACAAGTGACAATGCCCTATGTGACAATATCCCTGAGTGCCTTAAGTGTAAAGATAAACAAGAATATATTGATAATTTGAAGAACAAAATAATATCCTTAGAAAATTGTAATAAAATATTGAAAAAAAAGAGAAAAGAAAGATTTAGAATGTTTGCTCAGCGACAAAGAAGGTGGACGACATCTAGAAAGAAATTTGTATCGGAAATTCTGAAATTAAAATCCCCAAACAGCGAAATTTAGGAAAAAACAGAACACATCGGAGAATTTGAAAAACGTCTAAAGCATATTTTTACAAAGACGCAGATTAACGCTTGCTAGAAAAGAAGGAAAAAATCTGGTGGACTAGTGAAGATATTTCACGTTGCATTGTCATAGGAGCTCTGTCATCTAAAAGTTACGATTTTTGGAAAGGAAAAAAGTGGGAATTCCTTTACCTAGCACTAGCACATTAAAGGGATGGTGTGCTAAATTTTCATGTAGTCCAGGAACTCAGAGTGATGTTCTTGCTGTAATAAAGGAAAGATGCGAATATTTGAATTCTGTAGAAAAAGTATGCGTTCTC